GGCCGGTAGGAAGAAGCAAAAAACAAATTTACTTGGAAAGATCACGCCGTTCAGCACTCGTGATTTCAGTATGTGTGCGCTTTCGAAAGAGAGCTGAAGCATTTGTTGCGATTTCAGACAAGATTTGTGTCGGAAAAGCAACAGGAATTCGAACTCCCTCTACGAAGAAAGCGAAGCACGGCACGGAAGGCGATGATTTCAGCGAAGCGATGCGGCAAGCCTGGACGAATCACAGGTGCTATTTCATGGGGTTGTTTCGTGAGATAGATCACCAGATTCCATCAACGAAGCATATCCATGGAGCGTTAGGAAAAAGTGGCTGCAAAGCTCATGTGGCCTGTATTCTGGCCGATAGTGCCACATCAGTCATGCAGATGGTTGAGGGCCAGGATCGGCCTGATGGTAGGGCTCGACATGCACCAGAAACCGACCCTGAGACCACTCAGGCCATGACATTTTTAAATAGGCTGGCAGAGAAAATTATCCAAAATGCTGGCCAATTCATAAACCAGGATGGGCAAGGAACACGATCCTGGCTTGCGCAGATTTTCAACTTGCTTGGTGTCACCAAAGACCAAGAGTTGCAACCGGAGGACCTGTTTCGTATCATGCAGCGCCTGCAATTAAATAAATGCGAATACAAGAAACTCGGCGGTGTTTTTGCTGCAGTTAGTGTCAATGATTCTGAAAAAATCACGATCGCCGAATTCGCCATGTTCATGAAAGGCTGTGGACTCAACTCTGGCAGATTCTCGAACCTGTTGTTCCCTAGCCCTGAGGGGGTGCACAACATCCACCTGCTTCTCTGGTTTATCACGCAGCGCATGGCTTCAAGAATAGCGATGATGGACCAAAAGCCAAATACTATAAACCCAACTACGCTTGATTATCAGCGGTGTTTTGAGGCGGTAGACTCTGAGGGAGTTGGCTCAATCACAAAAGAAGGCTTTATAAATATGGTCCGATACAAACTTGGAATCGACGCAGCTGAGATATCTGATGGAAGCCTGCGCCGCATTTATGAGATAGTGGATGATGAAGGCTCTGAGGTTGTTACCACAAAGGAATTCGCTGCCTTCATGCGTGGTACTTCTAGTGCCCAACAAGCTGCCGTGGCTGTGAATTCCGCGGAGATCATAGCCTCCACGCGTGCACCTATTGCGGACCCCACCAAGATTTGCCAGTCTGAAGATGGCCTCTTTAGTAGTGGCGACTCAGGCGTAGGCATGTTTTGTGACACAAGTCAAGGAGGGATGCAACCTGTTCATTGGGCTTGTGTACCTGAACTTGATTCAAGGCTCGGTCACGTGCGGAAGGAATCCACCATTAAGACATTCCCCGTGGCACACTCTAGCCCCGATTATCGAGACATGGCAAGTATGGACGACCTTCGCCTCCGTCTCGAGGTGCTTTGGGAGGAATTGAACATCCCATGTTGCGATCGTGATTTCTTCATTCTCACCTTCTGTGGCGATGCCCGCCACAAAAATATTGTTGCAAAGCACGTTGAATGTCTTCTCCGCCACCGTCGCTGTACTCGGAACGTCGTGGAAGCAATTAAGTGCCGCAATCTAGCCCTCTTCGCTCTGCACCAGGCTGTGCAGAAGACGACTTCTGACGCAACATTGCCAATTTTACGATCTCTTGCCGTGGCCACTGAGAATGTGCTTGTCGCGGTCAGCAAATGGCGCCGGGGCCTCTGGAATCACCTACCTTTCCTTTACGAGGGTGTGAACTATGTCCATGCCATGGCCGACGATGTCGCAGATTTGCTGTCCTCTTCGGTCAAAAAGACCAGAAACTTTCTATCGAGTATTCCCATGCAAGATTATGGCAGTCACCTCGCCGGGTCCACCATGGCCGCATTGCTTTCTGAGGGTCTCGACTCCAACACTGTTGCTTTCTTGCTGCCCCGGCACGTGTTTTTACCTGCGTACCACGTCGCAAGCGCTATGCTAAATGAGGCGTCGCTTGTTGCGGCCACACGGCGAGATCATTGCCGCCTCCTGGAGAAGGGGTCGTTTACACCTCGCCTTAAGTGATCGAGGGTCAGGGTGATCTGCATCCGAGTGGCTCCACCGGAGCGTGATGTACACACCACCACCGTTGAATGGCCTATTATGGCCAATCGGCGGTGGGATGAGACTATTATCATAACCAGGGCTATTGCTGTCTGCCCCACTACGACCGACACCCCGCTCGAGGGAGGGGTCAGGCAATGAAACTGCCTGACTTACACGCAAGGAGCACTGCGTTGCAAGGTGCTCAGCGGGCGCGGTGGCGCGGCGGATAGCTAGCTAAGGCCCTCACTCACGCGAAGTAGGAATACGAGCCCACGAGCAAGAGCCCGGGGTCAGTATGGCTGTACTTACACGCAAAGGCAGCGATCGAAGGCCTTGCAAGGCTCGACGATGCCGAAAGCGCGCGCGGCAACGAAAAGCGCCCCATTTCGCATCAAACACAGTGCGCGAAACAACCGACGCCTAGGCCGGCCCGTGCGAAATAAGAAGATAATATTTATTAATTAAATCCGGCCAGCGGCCGGAGGGACGTGTACTACACCTCCTGAAAATTTGCCGCGCGCGCGCGCGCGCGCGGGTCTAGTGCGGGTTTCGGAGGTCCCGTGTTGAATCATGAAAGTCAACTTTTCGCGAAAAAAGATCCTCACGCCCGAGTGTCTCAAAATGTACGACGCTACCGCACTCACAACGCCAGCCTCGGCGAAAGGACCCCACTTTCGAGCGGTTTACGACCCCTAACTTCAACTTTTATGTTGAACTTGGCAACTAACCCAGCTGAGCTTCAAGATACAAAACCCCAGGCTTTTCTTTTCAAGCTTTTGTTTCGCGCACTGATCAAAAAGGGGCGAGGCGGCCAACACGCGGCCTCGCTCGCAAAATGCTGGGCCAAGAACGCCAAGGTGCACCGAGACAGTCAGCTAGAGAAGCATGACGAGCTCGAGGGCCTTCAAGGGCCGATTCGGCCCTTCGATGTGGACGAAAACAAGAAGAAAATCGTGCCCCTCGACCGCAAATTTTTGCGCTCGTATGCCAAAAATATCGCCACAGATGCACCTCCATCAGACCTGCTGCAGGTGCGAGAAGGCATCGCAAGAGCCAAGGACATGCGCTTACCGTCGTACTTCGCCGTGCCGATCTGCATCAGCAAGCTCGGCCCGTCCATTCGCTCCGCCGGAGGCAACCCCCCGCGGCAAGGCTCCGGCAGGGTAAGATGCCGTAGGCGCCAAGGCGTGCAATCATCACTGACATCAGGAGCTCACATCTCGCTTCGTGCACGGCGCCGCGCGGTCGGTGGTCCCGAGATCTACGGGAATGGTATCGTTGCTCGGCGAAGGAGGCGCAAATGCAGTGTTCCGTTGTGGTAGACGCGTGTGGCGACTGCAAAAACGTGCATTTAGCGGGCTATGCCAGGATTTTACGGACCGCAAAAAACAAACGCTTGTATTGCGGGTCGCCCTTGAAGCGGAAGCCGACTTCGAGCAATGCGTCGGAAGGGTTAGTCGCCTTCGTCAATTTACTCCCGTGAGCTTTACACATTGTAGGAGTGGCTAGGCATTGAATTTATGCTGTGTGGTAGTGTGAGGGCAATTCCGCAATCCCTGACATGGGAATGTGAGGCAGCGTATCGAAGCGGTGGAGGTTCAATCAAGTTTCTAATGCCACGCGTTGGCCTCGTTGTCCCAGATGCAACAAACATCTGGCTCCCGCTTTGTCGCAGTGATACTGCGAAGGGCCCTTGCTTCACAGTGGAGCTGAAGCCAAAACAGGCCGACAAGGCACGATCATGGCTTTTGGAGCCTGGGAGAGCGTCCTTCAAAGCTCGATTCTCCCGGATACAGATAACAAGAGCGGCAACTGCCGGTGGAAAACCTCAGCCAGCGCCTGAAGTTTACTACGAAGCAATTTTCTCAGGTGATCCAAAAGGAATGCAGCGTGCCATTGAAGCTAGCTTAAATCACCAGACCGGGCCAGTAGTGAACTTTTTTTTGGACGGGACACGGATGAGTCCTCGAGAGCATCCGGGCGTGGCGGGTGTTGTCACTGCCGCTCTTGTGAGAGAGCCTATCCTGCGTCGGCTTCGTGTGCCCAGCAGGCTCAG